GCCTTGATCGTTGGAGTGCATAGAAATCAGCTATTTCTCGCTCACGTTCTGTTTCGTCATCTTCCTCTCGGAACTCATCAGTGGCACTGAAGAAAAGGGGAGCTTGTTGAACCGAGCTGCGAGGGGCAAAAGGAAATTGAGCTGTCTGGGATGCACCCGGTCGATAAGGATCGGTAGGTCGTAAGAAGGAGCGCGATGAAGGGTGTCGAGGGTTGCCTTGATGTTGACCAGGGCGGCTACGGCCCGTTCTTTGAACCTCATCTGGTCGAGAGGTTACTCGTGACTGTGACTGAGCAAGGAATCGGGAGGCATCTAAAGCGAAGTGTTAGCCATATAGTCTTCTAATACTAAGGATCTTCCAGTTCTTACATTCAGAGAACATGGCCTGTTATCGTAACGAAGAAAGTACGGTGAGTGGGACAGGACCAGTGATAGATCACTAAAGGAAATATGCCGAGGAAATCAAGTACGGTCGGATATTAGAGAGTAAAGGGAAGAGAGGGAGAGAGGAAAGACTTTGAATTTGTTTGAGATATGCCAAATCTAGGAGAGAGGATGTGTGTGGTGCCTGGGATAAAGTGAAGGGCTGTAAGGTCACGCAGCTGATGAAAGCGTCATTCGGGCACGTCAGGCTTGATAGATGACTCAGCTGATAACCACGAGGTCTCCAAATCGACCTACGTCGTAGGTAAACTGACCTTCGCTTTCTTTCCCCATTTCTGATTCTGGATTTTTTTCTACTCTCTCCATGTCACAGCCATGGGATTATATTGCTAAGCTTGTCTGCATTGGTGACTCTGGCACTGGCAAGTCCAGCGTAAGTGCTATCAGCCTTGGACCTTGGACCTACGCTAACTGAACAATAGCTCACCGTCCGACTTTGTGAAGGCCGTTTTTCCCCATCTCATGATGTGACCATTGGTGTCGAGTTCGGATCGCGAATTGTGCCAGTTGGTCCTCCAGCTTCACTAGAGCTAGAACTTGATGAGCCCTCTCCCGGATCGTCGGGTGATACATTTCCAGAAGCGTCTACCACCTCTGGTCTTCCTACCCCTCCACGAAAACCACAAGGTTTCCCCAATCAAAAGCGCATGAAACTATCCCTGTGGGATACTGCTGGACAAGAGACATACAAGTCTATCACCCGCTCTTACTTCCGGGGTGCCTCTGGCGCTCTCCTAGTCTTTGATATATCCAGATACTCGACCTTTATATCTTGTACTCAGTGGCTGCAGGATCTACGGCATATTGCAGAAGATGGCATCGTTGTTGTTTTGGTCGGTAATAAGACTGATCTGACGGGGGCCAGTTCTGGATCAAATCAAAGGCAGGTCACCCAGGAGGAGGCCGAAGAATGGTGCCGCATGAACAATGTGGTTCGCTATGTTGAAACGAGCGCCAAATCTGGGGATGGCGTTGAACGAGCGTTCCTGGAAGTTGCTGAGAGGATCTATCGTAACATTGAAACGGGAAAATACGACCTCAATGATCGGCGGAGCGGTGTGAAAGGGTTCGGAGCCTCAGGAGGAGCAAACACGGGCATCCCTAGAACCGTCACATTGGGAATGGATGATGCTATGCGCAAAGGTGGCAACAGTTGGACCGGGGGATGTTGCTAAATCCACAGCCCGTAATAATAAATAGTCAGCAACATCTGGCCCGGACACATCTTCATCACTATTGAACTAAGTTGTTACCAGACACTAAGCGTGGCTATAACAACCGAAATGAGGACTCTAGTATCTCTAATAACATTGCATTTTTCTTTACAAATACAGAAGTAAAGTTGAATTGTCCGTGTTGATACAATTACCTGTAGGCATATAAGGTCCACTTTGGGGTAGTCAACACAAGCTAACAAGCAGAGAGGACGAGAACAAGTCATCAAGCGATCCATGATTAGTTCGCATTCGCCATTTTCCATCCGGGTAGCCAGCGGAGGTGACTCCATTGCTGGTTAGAACCCTCCATTCCAAACACGATGGCTCGGAAATGAATGAACAATCCGACAATAACCACGTAGAGGAAAGCATACACCGCTGCAGACAATCTGGGGTTCATCTTGCGTGTTACCCAATCAACGCAGAAGCCGAAGTTCAGGATGGCATAGTAGAGAGCCGGATAGTAATGATGGACATAAGTGACGCGGGCCATGATGATAAAGGGAAGATAGTGCAAGACCCATCCGATAACTGGGTATATGCCAGAGTAGTGGATGTGACTAATTTCCTCGTTGCTGAGATCATTGTACCCCCTTTGCCAGCGCAGAAGGTACCAAATGAAAAGAAGACCAAATCCACCAAGAGCGGCAGTGCTTCCCCAATAGACTAGGGGGTTTCCTAGCAGATAGTATTTGACAACGCTATCATCCCAAGAACACATGCGCAAGCCGACATTGAGAATCGGCCATTGCCAAAACTTGGAAGCCAAGTCATCTTGCTTGTCAGGATCGGGAACCAGAGCATTGTTAGAGGTCATCATGGCCACATTCAGGTGGATGAAGTCCTTCAAGAAGGGCGATTTATAGGAGCCAGGGTCACCAGGGGGCACTGTGGATAGGTCAATAAGTCTGATTGGGCTCATCAATATCAAGTGTTTGGCAAAAGGATAAGCTTACAACGGTCGTTGGTGTGAGACTCAACATTCCAGTGAGTATACACATCGCCGGGTTTGTTTTCCTTGGTACACGTTGTTTCAATCTGCTTGAAGCCCCATTGAGGTAGATTGACATTTCCTGCCCGTAGATAGCAGCCCAGGACAGGATGGCGGAGTCGGAATGCTGTTGTAAGTGTCCGGATCCTAGATCGGTCCCGAGATGCAACATCATCGACTACCTCCACTTTCCAGTGGTCTTTGTCGTCTCCGATGGTGATATTTCCGTAAGATGACACTTCGTGGTGTGATTTGGTGATTGGTGCTGGGATAGCGTGGGAATGCAGGTTACGACCTGTCTGTCCGTGAATCAACCGAATGACATCGCCATCACCAACGAACCGCAGATCAGCAGTGGCATCGTAGTCCGGCTCCTGTCGATTGGGGTAGATGAACCAGTCATTGTTGGCATCTTTGTGGTGGTAGCAGGTGACCTGCTGCTGCATAGATCCCTCCGGGTAAGTTTGAACGTGAGAGTGCAGAAGCCCTCCTCCGTATCCCATATTTTTAAGTGTGACACGCGACCCAATTGCGAGTTCAAGAGGGCTATCTCTACCAACTTCAGTGCCTTGTAGGTTGGCTTGAAAAAGCGAGCTCATCTGGGCATCACCTGGACCACTGTTCGCCAGCACTAAGAAGTGCAGATAAAAAAAAAACATGTAGACCAAGATCGGAATAACAATCAATCCGACAACACGAGCAACCAAGTGCTTTGCAAGTACAGCCTGTCCAAACACGTCCGCATTAGCCAGCTAATCGGCGATCAACTTCTAGGCAAGGGGGGCTGATAGCAGGTACTCACCCGTGGCATCTTTAGGTCGCCAAATTTATTCCACAGGTCATCAATAGTATAGAGACCGACAAGAGCAGTGCAAAAGAAACCGACCCATTTGACACTACAGACACACCCAATGCTCAAACCGGTTAAACAGAGCCAGGCATACCATTCTAGCGAAAAGCTATCACGCTGCAACCGGTGAAATCTTGCCCAGCACATCGTCGTAGTAAATGTGAAGCAGAGCAGCATCGAGTCGAGAAGTATAAACCGAGAAATTGTCGCATAGGAATTCTCACACAGCACCATCAGGCTGATCAGCCAGACTGTGGGCCGACGGAAGTTCAACTCTCGCGCAGTGTAGTAGGCCAGGGGAATGCAGATTATACCAAAGGCAGCATTGAAGGCTCGCATAAAGGTATAATTCACATCTTCTGGATACTTCTCGCCAGACTTGAATTCAAAAGACCCATTATAGCCAGCAAGATATCCGGATAGGCCAACTAGCATCTTCCCCAAAGGCGGGTGGACATCGAAGTAGAATTCGCGTTTGAGATAGTGGGAACCGAATTTACCGAAGTGGGCCTCGTCCCAGGTAACAATGTTGGAACGGCCGATCTGGTACAGGCGGGTGAAGAGTGCGAGGGCAGTCAAGAGGATGGGAGCAATGATCGGCTCCCAGCTAGCCAGCACATGGAGGAACGAGGGTGACTGTTCAGGGGAGGTTAGAAGGGCGTGGATGATGATGTTCAAGAAGGCTATCTCACCTGTGTTCTAGCTTTCTTCACATCTTCGTCATTCGTCCGGTTGGAGTCCAGATGAACTTTGCTAGTATCAGGGACATTTCTTCGACGGAGGTCGGACTCATGGTTGGCACCCGTGCTCACGGCAGTGTCTAGGCCCACCATAGTGTGTGTGTGTGTGTGTGTCTTGTGGAATTTTCGAAAGAAAATGTACCAACAAAACGGGAGAATAGTAGGAAATTAAACTGGGGAATACCGAGGTAGACCGATAATAGAAGGACAGATAGATTTAAGAGAACATTGCCATTCCCCTGGGTAAGTGAGTGATAGAATGGGGGCAAATCTAGCGGATATACCGGAAGCAATGCCAGAAGTAGATTGAAAAAGAAAAAGAAAACGAAAACGAAATGAAATGAAATGAAATGAAGTGAAGTGAAGTGAGACAAGAGAGTGGGCTGAGGGAATCAAGGAGAAAGTGAGATCCGTGGCCTCAAGGAGGATAAACAAGTCCACTTTTAGCGGGCCGTTTTCAGAACATTGGCCCTTGTAATTCTAGCTCCGTGCTATAAATATACTAATCATTTATAGTACATGTATTATAACTAGATATTATATATATATATATAAATCATTGGCACAGACACATATGTAACAAGGAAATTCCAGAACAACATCAATGCAAAGCCTCGTATGATAGGTATATACCGTGAACGTGAACTTGAGATCAACAGAAGGCATTGGTAGATGGGGAAAGGAGATATAACATCGGATTCTTTGGTCTTTTCTTGCTTCCTCTATCCAGTCCGAGGCCACAATTACCCGTAACTCTTTCATTCGCCTTCTCCTTGCTCCAAACGTCTATATTGACTGCTGGTAGCACCGGCGCCCGCTCCTCGTTTTCGACTGACCATGTCTGAGATCCAGCCACCAATTCCTTCGCCGCGGACACTGCCCTGGTGAGAATTTGAGCGTCCGCGTTTGCTGGCTCCCTCATGGCTTGAAGTCGGCGGATCAATATCTAGACCAGGGATGGAATTATCTGCCCCAAATTGACCATACTGCCGACGCAGGTCGAGCGATGGGACGGGTGAACCAGCACCCATCAGCGACCCCCGTTCGCCTTGGGTGGCGGGTGTCGGCATGGCAGTGGAAGCATCGCCAAAAAGAACGTTCATATCTTCGAGGCGAACCCCACTCGTTTCGGGGTACAAAAAATAAACTGTGGTGATAGTCAGTATAATGGTCCCTAGTAGATGACCACGGATGAGGGACCCTACCAAGCACAAAACTGCATGCACAAAAGAATGCATGGACCAAGTATAGCCGCCACTTGATAACTTCTTGAAGAACAGGTGTTACCTCGCCCACGAGCCAATTGAATGCCCAATTTGAAGCGGTGCTCAAACTTGCACCCTTGGCACGAATACTCAAAGGCAAAATCTCTGGGGGGTATAACCATGGAATGGGGCCCCAGGATGCCCCGAAAGCTGCATTATAGAGCATAACGAAGATCACCGTCAGAGTTGGGGTGGCGGGAATCTCAATGTAAATAAAGTAGGAGATAAGAGAAAGCGAAATGAGCATGGCAACGGCACCCGTGAGTAAAATCGGTCGCCGGCCCCAGCCATCCACGAGATACCAGGGTGGTATGGTAGACAGCAAGTATGAAATACCATTGATTCCAGTCATCAGGATGGCATCCCGTCCAGCCCAACCGGCCTATATGGTAGATTGGTCAGCATAATCCTGAACCCTTTTGAATATCATTTGTATCCGGCATAGCACCATGGAGGGAGACTCTAGGTCCATACCGATTCAAACACTAGAGGCGCATAGTATGAGATTACGTTGATCCCGTTGAGTTGAGCTAGGGCTTGGGCCGACATAGCAATCAAAACACGTTTGCGATACCGGCGGAACATGTCCGAGTAGGATCGCTCGCCCTCTTGTCGCTGGACAAGGACGTTCATCTTGATCTCACGATATTCTTGACGGGCCTTGTCATTGAGGAGATCGCCTTCGCCATAAAGATTTGCGATCACCACCATACCCTCCTCGTCGTGGTCATTATCAAGAAGCCACCTAAGGAAAGGATTGGGAGTTAGCCTAGCAGACGATGGATGGGATTTCTACTCACCTAGGTGATTCACAGATCATCAGACTGCCAACTCCAAGTAAGGCACCCATGATACACTGGAAAAGAAGTGGCAGGCGCCAGGAGTAGTCGTTATCGATGAAGCTACAGAAATAGTCTACCCACACACTAGTCGCATACCCAGCAATATTGCCGGTGAATTCGATGCATGCGAGCTTCCCACGGTTGTGGGGAGGCTTGAAATTCGTCAGCGTACCTGGCGATAGAATGGGGAGGGAGGCAAAGAAAAAGCCTTGAGGATCGATGGAGAAATGGGAGTACAAACCGATATTTCAGACTGGTAAACTGGCACGATAGTAGAGAGGGCACCAACGCCTAGACCGGCAATCACACGACCGACCATCATCATGGGTATACCCGTGGAAAATGTTTGAAAAGCGCCGCCAATAAAGAACACAATGGAGCCATAGAGTATAGTCCTTCGACGGCCGATCACATCACCGATACGACCCACAAGGAGCGAGGATATGAATGCACCAATTTCGAGAACTGCAACCACAGTGCCAATTGTAGCCCGAGAAGGCTGGTTGAAGTAATCTTTGAAGTACCAGCCACTGTATCTGTTAGCCACATTCCGCTCCTCGTTATCTTTATGGCGAGTCTATGCTCGAGGGATTAGACACGAACGTTATGATCCCAGACATTACACCCTGGTCATAGCCAAAAAGAAAGACACCCAGTGATACAAACACACTCGTGAAGTAACTACATGCAAACCAGAGTCAGTGGTAAAAATTACGGTATTGGCCTTTTAAGACACTCACAGTAATGGTTTTCCGACTAAGCCGTGCATCTGGGTGTTTGGTCCATCTCTGGGTGTCATTATGGCGGCCAGCACGCGTTCAACTCTCGAAATATGTCGCGGGGGAGGGGCTGGTATTTTGATCTTTTCAATATCGACGCCAGAACGCTCGTTGTTCAAGTTTGAAGGGTAGCGGACGTGTTTGGGCTGCTCCCTTCGCTCTTTTCGACGCAAGAGCTGGCGGTCTGAGGAATTGAGAAGGTGAATCTGTAGCGGATCTTCAGCCTCAGCGAACTGCTCGGCGAGGTCACCGGTATCTGACCAGATGGAGACGTCAGACCCGACCGAGCGAGCAGAGGAATGGGAAGACCGTCGATTACCCTTCTCGTTAGACTCCAATAATTTGGCCGAATGGATCGAGCGAGAATCAGAGGGTATGGACTGGAGGGGTATGTTAGAGGCGCGTGAGGGAGAAGTCGGAGAAATGATGGCGATATTGACGGGCTGAACCTCGCAGCCCTTTGTCCCGGAGAAAAGAATGCGGAGTCGGATGGAATTAATGATATCGATAAGACGTTCTCCGCAAGTAGTCAGCAACGGTACCACCTGGGCACAACCTTGGAAGCCACTATATTAGTCCGTGATAGGGCGCCACTCAGGCGATGTGGCCACGGGCGACTAGCTACGTAAAGTCACACGCGACGCAAGATGACGAAGTACCGTCGAAATGGGGTGACGGTCAGGCGGAGATTTGGGGAGAGGGGGTGCGTTTGGGCAAAAAAGTGAGAGTATTACACGGCCAAAACGACAAATATAGAATAGGATAGAGGGATTCAGATGATTTTCATCAAGTGTTTTCCGAGGAGCTAGGTTAGAATAGTAATTTTCGTCAAATAGAAGTATGAAAGAGAGAAAAGAAGATAAGCCATCCTAATAACTAGTAAGAGGTGATCTGTACGCATACGGAGTACGTACTAGTACTAATACGTACTAGAGCGTATCGTCCCGTCTAATTCGGGATAGATCGACAAATGGGTTACTAATACATATAAGTAGTTAGTTACCAGGAAGATATTTATGAAGTAGGTATCGCTTGTATGTACATAAATGTATGTACGTCTAATGAAATCATATTCTATGTCTGTAACGCCATCTTCGGAATGAACAAGGATAAAAAAGCGCAAACAACAAACAGAAAAAGACGCGAGGGGAAAAGAAAACCTGTCATATAGGTCATTAAGTGAGAAGGATGTCATATCCATCACTCTGAATATGGACAGCGTCTGCGGGATTCGCGTACCGTCGGCGCACCAATTCAAAAATGATCAGGCCAGCACTAGTGCTAGGTACTTGGCGAAGAGAGCTCCCGATAAATCCACGGAACAACCAGGAGCGCCAGCCCCCGGCCCGCGCAACCTTCCGCTCGCACCTCTTGAAGGTCTCTTGATAGGCATGGTAGTAGAATTGTATCATCTTCTGTCGCGAGGGTATGAAGCTGGCCTGGTGATCCAGATATTCCAGACGACCAAGGTGAAGGTCTTGAATCCTACTTATAGGATGCTGAATGGTTTGCTGAGCGACCGATGCCACAACACCGGCCATCAGCAGGAAACATGGCTCCAATGCATAGTGGGGCTTGATGAGTGGCACACCACGATCACTAGACCTGGACGATGAAAGCATGCCCACATGATCGACTTGCAGGGAGCCATAGTACCAAGTGACGAATGAATAGTAGGACTGTGACTTGATGTATTCGAACGTGGAGAAGAACACAGCATAGCCGAGTGAATCCCGCATGAATGATAGGCTCCAACCCGCAAAGACCCCACGGAGACCAATCTGTTTGAGCTTATGGTGGCCATAATGCCACATACTCCGGTACTGACCCTCCAGCATGTCATTGGTTTGAAAGCGAACCTGTAAGGCATCCAGAGGGGCGGCTACAATCGACTGAATTGTGCCGGCTATGAATCCAGCAGCGAATGTTGCAGATGGAGGAGCCGGGGGCCATACTCGCTTCACCCCTTGGGACACAGGTTCATGTAGGGCCCCCAAAACTTGGAGATAGGACGTGTAAAGAACGGCACCAACCCTGATCTATATAGTTAGCCTTTTTGAATCGCCTGGGGCCATATCCTCTGGTATATGTCACCCTGCATTTGCCATCAATGGTGGAAGCACTTGATTCGGGATAAACCGCCAGCCATATGTCCGAACGGCGTGGAGCAATAATCCCGGGGTTGTCGTATGCAGAGACCATTTGCCTTCGGCGACACGTGGGTTCACAGCTCTCGCAAATGCCTATTTCAAATGATAAGCAACCAAGGCTGGTGATGGGTTGATCGTGTTTCTTACCATATAACTAGGTAAAATATTGTCAATACAAAGATCTTCAGGTCCATAGATACTACATACTCAACACGCATACGAAAGAAAGCTTTGATCGGTGCTCTGAAGTAAAAGGCCACCATCTGTGCACTGAGAGCGCGAACGCCGGCGGCAGATGCTCCGGTAGCTGCATCGTTGCGAGAAATCCTTCGCGAACTTCCAGGAAGTTCGCCGAGGTGAGGCTCGAGGAGGATGGGAGCTATCGGAGAGTTCATTGTTTACAGACAACTAAAAAGCCAGTGTACATCGTAGGAAAGCGTGCTTGTCAAAGAGAGACTGGCTCAATGTCGATAGTGAATTCCAAAGCGCAGGCGATGTGGGCGGGAAAAGAGGGCAGCATCACAGGGTGTTTGTTATCTAATCAGACGACCAAGTGAAGGCTCACATACGCCATGTTAACTTGAAAGTTGAAGATAGAAAGAAAGTCAGTGAGAAGAGATATTCATAAAACATGTTCGGATTCGAGAAACATGAAAACAGCGCTAGTATGAAAGTGGTAATACTTTGATACGGTAATCTGGAGAGACCTAGAGTGCAGGAACGCGCTTTTCGCGTTCACTTTCCCCTAAGCCGTCCCTTTCTGTCTTTGTCTTTTCTTCCACAACCTAGTTCTATTGGTGTTTGATCTCTCATCATCGCAGTGGTCGCATTGATGCTACCTTCATTCCCTCTCCTTCATCCTCAACAAATTTAGCACTCGGACATACCTACAACAGCTCCTGCGCTTCTCCACCGAGCTCTCTTGCCATCAACTTAGTCTCTGACTGTGGCATATCTTGCCCACATCAGGCCATCACCATGGCTGAGGAGATTGCCATTGACAATAACAACTTTTTCAACCGCCTGTCTAGTTTCTATGCGTCATGGAAGGCCGACAAGCGCTCGGGCAATGCCCTCTTTGGCAATGCAGGGTCCATAGTCATTCTGATGGGTAAGACCGATGAGGAGAACTCATTCCAGAAGAACAACGCGATGCATGTATGTGAATCACCTCCAAAATTCCTATCCGTGTCCCACAGAGGCCCGTGAGCTTCATAACATCGTTACTTATGAACTCGTGATTAGTTCTGGCTTCTCGGGTATGAATTCCCAGCGACACTATTTGTTCTCACAACTGAGGCGATTTACGTGGTCACCACAGCCAAGAAAGGTGATTATCAACACATGGACTTCTGCGCGCCACATAGCTAATTAAATCAAATTTAAGCGAAACACCTTGAGCCGCTAAAAGAAGGAAAGATTCCCGTCGAGATTCTGGTCACTACCAAAGACCCAGAATCAAAGAGCAAAGCATTTGAGAAATGCTTGGATGTTATCAAGGGCGCAGGGGTGAGCTAAAATGACATTTAAATCACCGGTTCGATTTGCCTTCCTCTAACCGCAATAACTACAGAATAAAGTCGGCACCTTACCCAAAAATACAGCTTCAGGACCCTTCGCAGATGAATGGAAGCGCACATTTGCAGAAATATCGAAAGAGGTGGAGGAAGTTGACATAGCACCTGCACTCTCAGCTGCTTTTGCGATCAAAGATTCTGATGAATTGGTTGGTTTTTCTATGCCAGTGCGTTTCACGGGTGGTGCTTGCTGACATAGTCTCAAAAAAGGTCTCAATCCGCAATGCTTCCAGAGCTTGTAGTGGCCTTATGTCAGAGTACTTCGTCGATGAGATGTCACGTTTGCTCGACGAGGAAAAGAAGATGACACATAAAGCCCTCGCCGCAAAGGTTGATGCAAAGATTGATGATGGGAAATTTTTCAACAAGCTGGCGCGGCTGCCCTCGGAATTCGATTCCCAGCAAATCGACTGGGCCTACGGGCCTGTAATTCAAAGTGGAGGTGCCTACGATCTCAAGCTCACAGCGACTCCCGACAATAAAAACCTCGAACCCGGTATCATTTTGTCCAGCTTTGGAATCAGATACAAGACCTACAGTTCGCTTATTGGGCGCACATATCTGGTTGACCCAACAAAATCACAAGAAGCGAACTATGCCCTACTGCTTAGCCTCCATGAAGCAACCATGAAAGAGGTTCGAGATGGTGTGGTCGCCAAGGACGTTTACAACAAAGCACTGAGTCTCGTCCGGTCTAAGAAGCCGGAGCTGGAGGGACACTTTGTTAAGAACGTTGGCGCAGGGATTGGAATCGAGCTGCGGGATGCCAATATGGTCCTCAATGCCAAGAACAACCGCGTCTTGAAGAACGGCATGACACTGTCTATCACGATCGGGCTTACTGATGTTAAGGATCCAGACTCCAAGAATGCCAAGAATGGTGCCTATTCCATGGTCATCACCGATACGGTTCGTGTCGGCGAAAATGGGCCTCATATTTTTACCAAAGACGCCGGTATTGACATGGACTCGATCTCATTCTACTTCGGGGATGAGGAAGAGCCAGAGAAGCCTGTTAAAGAGAAAAAGGAGACGAAATCTAGCGCAACTGCTGGCAGAAACGTCACAAGAACCAAACTTCGTGCTGAAAGACCAACTCAGGTCAATGAGGGAGCTGAAGCCCGTCGTCGTGAACACCAAAAAGAGCTGGCTTTGAAGAAGACAAAGGAAGGTTTGGATCGGTTCACCGGTACTACGGGAGACGATAATGGGGTGGCACAGAAGAAATTCAAGCGCTTTGAGTCTTACAAGCGAGACAACCAACTCCCCGCCAAGGTCAAAGACCTTACAGTTTACGTCGACCTGAAGACTTCAACCGTGATTGTGCCTATCATGGGCCGACCAGTTCCCTTCCATATCAACACCATAAAGAACGCCAGCAAAAGCGACGAAGGGGAATACGCCTACCTACGAATCAACTTCCTGTCTCCAGGTCAGGGTGTGGGCCGAAAGGATGACCAGCCCTTTGAGGACCTATCAGCTCATTTTGTTCGCAACCTCACCCTCCGGTCCAAGGATAACGACCGGCTTGCACGAGTTGCCCAGGATATCACCGAACTTCGCAAAACGGCCCTGAGACGAGAGCAGGAGAAGAAGGAATTGGAGGATGTTGTTGAGCAGGATAAACTGGTTGAAATTAGAAACCGACGTCCAGTGAAACTCCCTGACGTCTATCTCCGACCTCCTTTGGATGGGAAGCGTGTTCCGGGAGAAGTCGAAATTCATCAGAATGGTCTCCGGTACCTATCGCCTTTCCGCAATGAGCATGTCGATGTGCTCTTCAGCAACGTGAAGCATCTGTTCTTCCAACCATGTGCCCATGAATTGATCGTTCTTATCCATGTGCATCTCAAGACGCCCATCATGATTGGAAAGCGGAAGACAAAGGATATTCAATTCTATCGCGAGGCCACGGAAATGCAATTTGATGAAACTGGAAACCGTCGGCGCAAACACCGCTACGGAGATGAGGAAGAATTTGAGGCTGAACAGGAGGAAAGACGGCGGAGAGCTGCATTGGACCGCGAGTTCAAGGCCTTTGCCGAGAAGGTTGCGGACGCTGGCAAGGACGAGGGCGTCGATGTCGATATCCCATTCAGGGAAATTGGCTTTACCGGCGTTCCAAACCGGTCTAATGTCTTGATTCAACCGACCACAGATGCCCTAGTTCAGCTCACTGAACCTCCTTTCACGACCGTCACATTGAATGAAATCGAAATAGCCCATCTGGAGAGAGTTCAGGTAATGATTTCCACTTCTACTATTTCATCAGCCTGGTTTACTAATCTGTGCAGTTTGGACTCAAAAACTTCGACATGGTCTTCGTCTTTAAGGATTTCCGCCGGACTCCCGTTCATATCAACACGATTCCTGTTGAGGCACTTGAGGGTGTTAAGGACTGGCTTGATTCTGTTGATATTGCGTTCACCGAGGGTCCGCTCAACCTGAATTGGACCACGATTATGAAAACAGTCGTCAGCGATCCATACGGCTTCTTTGCCGATGGTGGATGGTCTTTCTTATCGGCCGAGTCAGACTCTGAGAACGGGTCAGACGAGGAAGAGGAGTCGGCTTTCGAGTTGTCCGATTCAGAGCTTGCAGCTGGGGACGAGAGTTCTGAGGAAGACAGCGAATTTGATGACGACGCGAGTGCCGATGCCAGCGAGGAAGACTTCAGCGGCGACGAGGAAAGTGGTGAGGACTGGGACGCCCTTGAGGAAAAGGCGAAACGTAAAGACAAGGAGACCGACCATGAAGACAATGACCGCGGGATCAAGCGCAAGCGGTAATCGACCATTTTATTGCCGCTGGGGCATCAAAATGACTTTGTCTTCCCTCCCTTTCTTGTACTCCATGTTCCAATCTATGGGCAAGCCAAGTTGGGCTACGAATGCCTTGCATCTCCTGATTGCCTTTCGAATACTTGTACGATTTGACTCGGGCCCACGGTGGATGGGATCAGAACAAGACACATTTACGGTGTTAATTGGGAGGAAATTAGTCTCTTAACGTCTCTTAACTGTACTGTAGCCAAATATTCATACATGAAATTCGTCCAACAGCTCATTAGACAGGTATTATTTCTCTGAATCGTAACCAACTAGCCTGGCCGGCTGGCTTGATTCTGGCCTTATGTCTTCTGCGTGTACATATATAGCTGCGAATGGACTCCATACAGAGCTTGTATTGGCCTTGTTGCCCGTCACTGTTGCGCTATTTACCTTCACGCATGGATATCCACATACTCCGCATGCGCTCTCCTTGTCCGGGCGTGAAGCGCTCATAACATACATCGGATGAATAATCCATGAAGTCGTGGACCGCGTCCAGTCCAGGGGAGTCTGGACAAGAATCCTTCTGGTCAGGGCACCCATCTGTCGGGGTGGACTGCTGTGGCGTGTCACTTATGTGGTCACCAGGATTATCTACTGAGCAAGATTCCCCCTGGAAGGTGTGCAAAAGGCCATTCCAGTGTCCAATCTCGTGGATGGCAGTCCCACCTCGATTGTACAGATCCAAGGAGCCACCGGGCATTGTTTTGGCTAAAACATTGCAGCCATCCTTGATATATTGAGAAGCCGGGCTACTAGCGTTGACACTCGGATCAGGCAAAGTGCAGAATCCAAGAACGCTTGATGCCAGATCATTGTTGGTGACTGCACCCCTGTGCCCGAAAGCACGTCCCGCTTGTTCGGGAGAGGCCTGCAGATCGGTTTGGAAGTAAACGTTCAATGTTCGGTAGCTTCCCTTCCGAAGAGTCGTTTTCATGGCCGTATCATCCGCATTGCTCGCCCACTTATCATTGACATTACGAGTCACACCTTGCAATCGGTAGGAGATGCCAGAATCTGCATAAGATTGTTGTAGAATAGAAAACTGTAGGTAAATAATTAGCACTGAAATGCCAGTCGAGAAAAGAAGCAACTGACTTGAGAATTGATCATATTATCAGTGACCTGGGTGGTCTCCGACTTGCTGCTGATGATATGGAACCAGGTCTCGATCTCGATCGGGGCCTTCCTGGCCTGCGAACTAGCAAGATCGGCTTCATCCGATTGGAGGCGCCTTACTTCATGCAAGAAATCTGCACCGGGGTCTTCGGTAGCACAGGCGCCTCTTTTCTGGAGTGCAAAGGGGCTACACCAAGCCTGCAGAAAAACGGTGACGAAGATGACGAGTTGGAAAAACGAGTGACACACCATGATGTTAAGAAACCCTGATTTTGAATTCCCCTTTTACACCTGTCCCAAAAGAGAAAAAAGGAGTGGATAAAGAGTCAAAAAAAGAACCATCAATCTCAAGACCGACCGGTTCGCGGGTACCATATAACCTGCCAGATCCCATCAGGAATGCTGTGTCTCGCGAGGAATGCATGTCTTGAGCAAGGGCTAGGAGCACGTAGGATTCAAGAAAATGAAACGATTGGTATGTCAGAAAGTTGAGGATGAGGTCATTAAACACAGGGGTTATTTACAGGGCATATTGAAACAGAAAAAGAAAAAAAAACGCCAAACAAAGAGCAGGAAGATGGGGTTCAAGGGGCATTATCCCGTCCCGTGGCGATAGCAGTGCTCGGTTGATTTGAATCCCAAGTAAGATAGGTGTGGTCGCCAAGTTTTCTAGTAAGTAGGTTAGGAGTTTGGAGTTTCTGCCCACAAAGAAAGGAGATCATACCTCGGACGCACCAAATGCGCGAGAGTAAACAAAGCCCCGAGAACAACGCAGATTCCACCAACAACCACATAGGCGATTCCCATGAAGGGATTCTTGCCCCCAAGCACTGTTCGCGTGGAGATCAAGATCGACTTGGTTCCATCGTATTCGGTGACATTGAAACCTGAAAAGTTTAGTAAGATATGGGTAAGCGGCAGTATTAACACATACGATCAACAATGTCAATGGAATATCTTGCAGCAGGCATGCCATGGGTATCGTTACGGCGGGAAAGCTTGCTGAACGATGGCAAGCCAGCGGTCCTCATCCAAACCATGAAAGCTTCATTTTCATGTAAGTTGGGATCCTCTTTATAGACACCGTTCTCGCTGGCCCAAAGCCAATTTGGTGGTGGGAGTACATCATCCATACTGTACTTTGTCGGTTTGATGAGTTCCTTATCACTCGCCCACGCAATGCCCTTAGTGGTCATTTCATAGAATTGTTTATCATTCTCAGGTGCATTCGGGTCTAGGATTTGGGGCTTCCCAATAGTGTCGTTGAAGAATGAGTTCGCAATCAGTCCACATGGATAGTATACCTTCTGAGCCGTGGTGTTGACCGCTAATGGGTCACATACGCCACCCTTGACCGTATTGTAGGAGACAGCATCTCCGATTAGCTGATTCAAATCGAGCGACTGAACATATCGGCGGTGGTTTTGATAGAAGTTGGTGAGGCGGTAATACATGAAAACTGGTGCTGGAAGCTCGTTCGGGATCTCAAAAAGAAGAGTGCAAGTAACGGTGCCCGAAGACTCATTGATAGACTTTCGCCAGGTGGGTGCCGATATTGCTGTAGAAGATTTGAAGGTCGCGGAATAATGAGGAACGGAGGCATAGCTGTCGGTCGGTGCTTTGCTGGAGCACTCGGAGTAATCGATGGAAATTTCTTGGACCTAGAGCACGTGGGTCGTCAGAGCTGTTCTGTCAAGGACGCAAAGGTATGAAACGAAGCATACTAGAGAGCTTGCCCAGAGAAGAACACCGCCAATCGGGGCAAAGATAATGCCAACGATGAAAAACAGAGGTAGAACGCTTTTAGGGGTTAAGATTGGCCTAGTGAGATGTTAGCACGGTGCTCCATAGGCAGGCATACGGGAATCTCAAGCTCACTGCCATGCTTTCAATCTTTGCTGGCGGAAAGCAGTATCTGGTACAGTTAGTTGTGGACAAAGGGTTGATGAGATCCCAGGACCTACTGGCTGGTCGGCGAGACTTTGGCTTCTTGTCGCCCTCCTCCCTTGCACGTTCCTGTTCCTCGATGGACCCAGAACGAGTCACTTGCTGAGACATCGCTTTTGACCAAGGTTATTTCAAAGAGGGAAATTGATGATCCAGATTGGAGTGAAGCAAAAGATGATACAAGGGATACGTCAAAAAAAAGGTGGCGCCGGGCTGCCGGAGGATTACGATTGCGCCCCACCGCTTTATTTCGGTTTAAATTAGAAACATATCAATTGGGCATGTCAACTACAGATGGCAGATATATTAACTAGTATATATCGTTTTTAGTGAATTGCATCTTAAGCTCAATTTCATATCAATTCATTGTGATATAGGAAAACCATATCCGGTCAGGGTATCAAGCCTTATCCTATGTGCTATTGCTGCCTTTCCAAAACAAAGACGAGGAAAAAGGAAGAAAGAAAAGGAAACGACCAAGCAGTAAAATTCAATCGCAATAGTGAAAAGAAAACACCCGTGGGTAACCAAGCCTGCCATTCTAGACCATAACGAAACTGAAGTGAAGCACCCAAACGCCAGCAGCCAAAGTTGGAAAGAATCAAAGCCATGGGATCTGTATGCAGAATGGAAAGAAAACCAACAAGGGGGGAATCTCAAAAGAAAAGAATGTGTCATGATGAGTCGTAAAAGCGAGATAGCAATTGAAAAAGAAATCGACAGGCCAAGAGATAAGGTGGGTTGATTCTAGGGAACACCTGGGTGTTTGTCTTGGTCAGGTGCAGATAGCCGAGAGCACTCAAATATGGATTAATAGTCGAGGGCTGTATTGCCAGTGATAGACACTGAGATAGAGGGTCAGTTATTGCTCAGCCTGTGATGGGAGGCGACACACGGGCTGTGATGAACTGGCAGAATTATCCACAGTACCATCAAAACACGTAACCTGCGATATCATGCTAGGTATTGATGAAAATATTCAGCTCTAAACCAACCCACGCGTTCGTAGGCGGTCCAAAGTTTGCTGGCTTTATTGACATCGATCTTGCAAGCCTGTTGGGCATCCGTCTTACGGAACTCTTTGCCCACACCGAGAGCTCGAACTCGAGCTTCAAAAATCCGACGCTTGCTGCATAGATAGGTCGCACATGAAAGTCTCAGGGTAGATGCGAGATTGAGCTCGGCGGGACTGAGAATATTTCTGTCCGGGTCATTGCTCAAATCTAACATCTGTCCCTTCCAATCAGCCTTCAATGCTTTGGCATTACTGCCTAGCGTCTCTGCCGGGGGCGAGTAGTCCTTGAGTGAGTGATAATCGGTGTCATCGCGATTCGTACCCAAGGTACGCGGTTTGGTAAGCGGGGTTTGGGGGGGTTCAAAGTTATCAAACACCTGCTGCTTGGGTGTGGATTTAGGGGTGCGTTTGACCCGAGTTCGCTGCACGCGCGGTTGGGTTCCTAGTCTTTTCACCGGAGCAGGAGCAATCTTCTTCAACTTGGGTTCGTAATCTCCTGAGCGATAGCGGTTCATCATGGCCATTTGGCGCTCCAACGTCTCGCGTTCCTCTCGGGCCCAAGCACCCGGGTTGCGATTGTACTGAGTCGAAACAATAGGGACACAGGAAAGCGCGAGGAGATATTCATCCCGTGTGGGTTTGTTCAACTTATTGCGAAAGATTGCCATATGAGAATTCATGTGCTCTTCCACAAGTGCCTCTGCAGATGGAGGGTGAACGGGGCCGAACAATGGCTCATCCGTAGCAACGTCAGTACCGGAATCCTGAGGGGGAAAAGGACAGGGTCCCTGGGGGATCCCAAATCCCTTTCAATCTGGTCCGAGGCGTTGGGATTGCTCTTCTTGTTCCCGGTGTAGGGAGTCACAGGTGGCGATGGGAGGTCCATCTCTGACTGGGTCCGTTTTCGATCATCTGAGATGGGTGGAAGCTGTATGTCACGAGTTGAGGAATCTCGAGGCTTTGCAAACGGTGAAAGCGAGACAGGAAAGCTCTCGAGAGGCTTGATCTCTGGGGGTGACATAAGGCTAGAAACGGATGGGAGACGATGCATAGTGGTCGGCTGGTCGGCTGGTTTCCAGCCAGCGGACGAAGTCATTCCAGATTAAATACCGTTGAGCCAACGGTAATTGGTAATAAGAGGTTAAAGTAGTCAATTGTGTGTCAATGGTGTCCAGGGCTAGGTTTTCTGGAAAGAGGAGGGGAGGGGATGAATACACCAGGCAGAGTGAGAAGATGGATGGCGAAAGCTGATGAGCGAGTGTTTATGGAACTCAATGGAAGTTGAATCACCAGGCAAAACAGGTGATTTGTCAGGGTCTGCCTCTTTGTCTCTCTCAGGTGGCGATAAGCCAATATGACCTAAGTCTCGGGGTTAAGGCTCCAATGGCCGAATGAGTCAATTTGATGAATAGGGTAATGGTCCATCGAGCGAGAATGGACCAAATGGAAAATGAAAAGGGTAAGGGGGGGGAAGGAAAAGAAAAGGGAGGGCAGGTTGAAGGGAATATTGAAAGCGAACTGTGAGTCAGTTGGGATGGGGCTGAGGGTGTGATGATAAACTGCGGGGTGGCGCTTAACGGAGATTCCGAGTTTCTCCAGGGGAGGGACTCATGAGACCAATGGACTCACTGTAAAATGGTTTAGTTGGGAGGGCATCAGAGCGCAAAAGGGGATCTGAGGGAGGGGAAAGATTGTGCTTGGGCGTCATTTGGCAAGGACCAGCTGATCTCATCATTTGGGTACTTGGGTGATACCATACCATGGTATTTTTGGTTGGTCTCCGGTACTCGATGTTGATATCTATTTACCAGCATGGTTTAGTAGATATGCCCAATCTCTACTAGTAGCCTGTGTAAGGTTACGGTAACTTTCGGATTTAATGTGACCTGATTTTCCTGCCTAAGTCCGGTCACATGTGACAACATCCCATGCGGGCAATCACCTAATAGGATCAGCCGCAGGAGGGGTCAGCCAATCATTTTCGAGCGTTGACCCCCCCAGTACCATGTGATCTATTGGTGTAGATCCTTATCTTTGATTTCTTGCTTTCTTGCCTTCTTGCCTTCTTGCCCTCTTGCCCTCTTGCCTCTTACATGCTATACTGTTCTTGCTTTTGCGGTCGCTTTTCATAAAGTATAACTTCCTTTCTTGAGTACTTCCATTTATAGGGTAACTTGGGTCTGACTCATCTATGTTCCTTCCCGAGGTCTAAAGTTGAGTCATATGTTGTAGTTGAATGGCTGCCTGCGCTAGGCGCCTAAACTGTTTCGTTATCCATATTTAGAGTGATGTCATCATACACCGACATGCGATCGCAGAGCCGCTCTTGTAACTTGCATTATCATTTATCAGGCACACGAGGCAGCCTCTCTATGAACGCGTCCATTCCCTATTAGTGCACTGTACGGCCCGCCTACCGTTGTTCAATTCTCCGGGATGCTCCTGAAGCGAAGCAAGTATAAATCAGAAGGTCTTACGTACATGTCACGTGGCCAGGTTTTCTCCTAGCATTATGATAAAAGCAGGGGAGTTGATCTAGCCGAGGGTCGCTGTGAAGCCAATAAGCCAGTAAGAGGGGGGTTTTGCGCAGCATTAGAAGTTAGAATCAGTCGCTTTGCTCGGCAACGACTATCTCGAAGGCCGTAAGCCGGCGAGATCACTCGTATAAATAATACTTAGTGACAAACAAAAGAGAGGCTGTTTTGTATGGTACGGATAGTAGGATACTGGACCAAAGGGTAAAATGAGTGTAATTCTACAAAGGAGTGTTCTCCTCCGAGATCTAACGTAATGTCGACCAGAAATGACGCACTTCCGTACGTTCCTTATATCTGGTGGTATATTGTTGAACAAAAGAGAGGCTGTTTTGTATGGTACAAGCAGTAGTGTTACGTGCCAGGTTCTTTCTAATGGAAGAAGTGCATTGCTAAACGAATATTAAGTATGAAGAAAGAAAAGAAAAGAAAACAAACGTAAAACAACAAATAGGTCTTTATACCCCTATCCTCGCTTATCCCAGAAGGAAGGTACAACTGCCTGCGTAAACGAGAAGGAACGACCAACAGTATAATCCCGAATAGGAAGGTACAAGTTCTATAAGTGCCAATTGTGATATAACCCCTGGGCGAGAATACATTTAGTCCCTAAATACTAGCTTCTTATTGTCGACCAGAAATGACGCACTTCCGTACATTCCTTACATCTGGTGGTATATTAGTAGTCAGCAGCCACGTGTAACGTAATCGGTAAGCGAGCCGCCACTATAAGCGAGCCGCCACCCTACCTAAAACGCGTCCATGAATTAGCACCTAGTCAGTTCAACTACCTACCATGCCACTAATTCGCTCTCAATCCGCTAGAAAATTAGAATAGTAAGAGGGTAGGCTTTTATTAGCTATCTAGGCTCTTCGAAACGGAGATATTAGCTCTATTACTCTTACTATATATACTTTTAGTATCCTATATATAACTTTACACAACCGTCTCTCTAGCTATTCTTAATAAAGTACTATATATACTAACTCTTCTAAATTAACTATAATTAAAGAGGAATCTCTTTAAAAATAGATTCTCTCTATAGATTCTTATAGATTAGCTCCCTAGCCCTCTATAGTATAAGAAATAGCGAATCTTCTTCTTAAAAAGTATAGAACTACCCTAGTTCTTTTAGTTAGCGAAAAATAGGTTTATAATTTTATAAAATAATACCCTTCTCTTTCCTTATAGTTCTTAAGATATTATAATTATAAGTATATAAAATATAAAGACCTAAAAATCATTAGAGAATAGTTTAATCTTATTTAAAAAACTATTATTTAATTTAGAATTAACCTAGATAATATTTATAACTTTAATAAGACTAGATTTATAATAGGATTAACTATAATAGTAAAGGTTATAATAAGAAGTAAATACTATAGTTAGAGATTACTTTTATAACCTAGAAATTATAAGTAAGTAACTATAATTAAATATATAAACTTAGTAGGGTAGGCTCTCTCTCTATATATTATTTTTAAAGGTAAGGTCTTCCTTAAATTATAGTTTAAAGGCCTTCCTAGTAACTAGTACTTTAAAGTTAGTCTAAATAGGTAGATATTAGATAAAATTAGCCTTTATTAGCTATAAAAGCTCTTTATTCTAACTACTTCTTCTTATATAAAGGGAGTATATTAACTTTTAGTACTTAATAGCTATAGAAGCTATTTAATCCTAAAATTTAATAAGATTTATAAGAAAAATAAGATTATACTAATTTATATACTATTATATTTATCTTACCTTTTATAATCCCTTAATATTAGTTATTTTATAGTAGTAAAATAATTATATAGCTAGTTAATTAAGATAAAAATATAGATTAGGATTAATTATATTAATAAATTTAAGTTCCTAGAAGTATATCCCTTTATATAAATTAAAGCTTTAAAATTAGAGATAATTAAAAATAGCTTCTTAGTAGCTAGTTTAATACCTTTTTTACCTAATTAGGTACTTTTAAAACTTAATATTTATCTTTAAATACTAACCTCCCTTCCTAGTAGGGATAGTAATTTAAGCTAGAATTTTACCCTAAAAACCCCTTTTAATAGTAAAGATCTATATCGATAGGCTTTATTAATTAAAGCTTTACTTTATACCTAATCTTAAAGTCTAATAAGCCCTTCTAAGTATATATTAGATTAACTTATTAAAGGCTACTAGATTATAATATATAGCGCTATTCTACTAGTAAAAGAAAATAAGGATTTATAGGATAAAAATAAGAATAAGAAGTAAAAGTAGGCCTAATCTAAAAGGTAGATATCTACCGAAGAAGGCCTCTCTATTTAAGAAGCTTCTAAAATAATTACTAGGCTAATAGAAGTATTAGAAATACCCCTATACCCCCTAGGTAGAAGCACTTAATTAGGGTTAGAACCACAACTATAGGCTATACTAAGGTATAGTAGGTATTAGAAGATAGGATATAAGATCAATAGGTATCCAGATAAATGATCCTTTTTAGTTTAATTAATTTAATAGCGTTCTAGTTAAAATATTTACCTTAGAAAACTATACTCTTAGGTAGGGTGGCGGCTCACTTATAGTGGCGGCTTGCTTACCGATTACATTAGTGATTATATAAACATATACTAAGATAATGTAATTCATATATAAGCCGCTACCACATACGACCCGCCACCCTATCCAAAAACGTGTCCATGAATTAGTACCTAGTTAATTTAACCACCTACCATGCTACCAAAACGCTCTCAATCCTCTAAAGATTTAATAGAGAAAGAGGGTAGGATCTTATTAGCTATCTAGGCTTTTAAGAATCAAGAATTTTCTAATATTTCTACTACCGCCTATACTTTTAACGTACTGCGTTTAACCCTTTAGGACCACCTTAGTAGTATATAATACCGCGCGACTTCTCGCGCTAACTTAACTAAATTAACCGCAATTAAAGAGGAATCTCTTCAAAAATAGATAATCTCTATAGATTCTTATAGATCGGCCCCCCGGCCCTCTATGGTATAAGAAATAGCGGATCTTCTTCTTAAATAACGCAGAACTACCCCGGTTATTTCAGTTAGCTAAAATTAGGTTATATATTTTATTAAACGGTACCCTACCCTTATATCCCAATTCTTAAGATATTATAATTATAAGTATATAAAATATAAAGACCTAAGGATTATTAGAGAGTGGTTTAATCTAGTTTAAAAAACCATTCTTTAGTATAGAATTGATCTAAATAATATTTATAACTTTAATAAGATAGGTTTTACTATAGGATTAACTATAATAGTAAAGGTTATAACTAGAAGTAAATACTATAATTAGAGATTACTTTTATAACCTAGAAATTACGAGTAGGTAACTATAATTAAATATATAAATATAGTAGGGTAGGCACTTGTGAGACCCCTAGGTATAGAATGCCTAAGGGAATACTGTATATAATAGAGGATTGGGAAATAGAGATAGTGATATATACAGTAGTATATTGGAACTAATAGCTGCCTCTCTAGAGAAGTAGTATACGAGGATAATATATAGGTTTATAGGTTATATAACCTAAGGAGGCTATATAGGTAGTATATATTA